GCAATCCTATGATCATGAACGTTTAGGATATGTATACGAAAGAGAATGGTCTCATGAATCTAACTTCTTTATATCACATTCTCCCAATTACATATTCCTTGGACTTATCGTTTAAGCATATAACATTTATATGAGACGGCTTAAAGTAATAATCTTTGCCCTTTATATTAAACTAGATTAGTTTAACATGTGAAATGTCCGTAAAGTATCATCATATGATTGGATTTAGGGCACATTTCCAACAATCTCCCACTTGAACTAAAGCCAATCAGCTTGGTCATCATTGATGATACCTCTTTTGAATTCATTTCAAAAATGGCTGAGTAGTAGGCCTAGACAATGGATATCTATATGTTATCCATAGAAGCAACCTTGAGAATAACGACGTCACCATTATACCTGATTCTCAATCATGTGGTTTAGTCTCTCATTTAAGTTCGGATCTTGATGAGACCTTGATTCTCTGGCTTGAGCTATCACCCCATTAGTGTAGTAGTGTTGGTACACTAGATGTACTTTCTGGTTTAAACCAAATAGAGAATTCATAAATGAACTTTCCCATCCAAACAACATTGTTGTAAACTTCTATATGGCGAGATATTTTGCTTGCACGATGGAACACACTAAAGCCATTACTTTTAATGTTTCCACCCAAATATCTCTTTAGTCATAATAAAGAGATATCCAATTATCTTTTCATTTAAAATGAAGTGACATCCAATGATGGATACGATAGTAGATTCATAATCTAATACATTTACACTTCCATTGCGTTACTCTAATTCTTCCTCATTCTTGAAATATATCCTTTAGTATTTCTTAAATACTTAAGGACTCACTTGACAGTTGCCATGGTTCTGATCTTGGGCTTGCACTGATATCGTCTTGTATATATCTTGGCACAACTCATATCAATGTTTTTCATACAATATAAAATACATAAATTACCTTTCTGTGTATGCATAAAGGATTCTAACGCTTTATGCTTCTTTGGGAGTCAAAGGGTACATTCCTTTTTAGAAGAGCAACTTCCTAGTCTTACTAGAATTGTCATTCTGATTGAAGTTTATCATCATATGAGAAACTTCCTACATCTGTTGTCTATCAATAAGGATTGAGATAATCCAATTATATCTTGAAATCTATGATTATAGATTTCCATCCCATGTATATAGACTATGTCTCCCATATACATTTTATTGTTATAGAACATTTAAAGTCATAACTTTAACGAAGAAGAATTCCTAAAATTAATATATCATATATGTTCAATTTTAGGAATATGATTAACTCCCAATAATCTTTTGTAAATCTAGTAAACAAAAGATTCATTTACGTCTTATGAGGAATCAAACAATTTGATCTTTCTCTCATAAGACACTTATAGCTCCCACTAACTTGCTAAGATTCACGATGGATAGATCTCTACAACTTACATGTCTTGTGATTCCTAGATTTTAGACATATATTATCAAGACTATCTTGATAATGGTTTCGGAAACCCATATTATGTCCAAACATTGAATCACCATTTAGTTGTAGCTAGCAATTGTCAAATTAATAGAAACTAAGACTGCTTCAAAAATGGTTTCTTCCAAGTCAACCAATCTCGTTGATTGTTGTCACCTTAAGCTACCATTTAGCTATGAAGGTTTCATTATTTCGGGTCAAATGGTACTATATCATTTCCTTTAGTATATGCCGTATATACACTCAATGTAGTCATAAGGATTTTCATTCTTATTTCTTTCGAATTAAGAGTTGCAACTCTATGACATAGTCATAAAGTTTAAACCATTCAACTAAGACGGTTTATAAATCTTTCTCGACTACCTTGGAGCTTGTGATGTAGGAACTAGGTTGTTACATTTGTTGATCATCATCTTGTCTCTCAAAGAACCCATTCTTTGAGTTCTATCTCTCGTTCATTTGCTCTTAGGCAAATCCTAGTGTAGGATCACAATTAACTACCCAACAAACAACATTTGTTAGTTGGTTTATAGAAGTGATATCCAAAGGTTAATTTAAGGATATCCCACAAGATTGTTCTCAAACAAATATTGCTTATTAGCACATAACCCCAAATCTTAACACGTTTAAGACTTGTCTTTCTTTCCAACTACATCCTATGGAGTCATGAAAATTTTGGAAGATCTTCTAATTGACAATCATATCGTCTTAGAAGTATATATCCTATATATGGGTAATTGATAACATCCTATGAACTACATCTTATTCGAGTTCATTCTTCTCCCAATGGAGAAATCCATTATCTTATGATGCTACTTTCCTTAATATCTTTCAAGGAAACTCATCTAAAGTGTTACTTTTTCTTAGATCAAATCTAAGGAGGTAAATACTTTAGACGTCTTACTCATCAACTTTTGAATTCTTTGAAACCTTTTGCAAAGTATTCGGACTTGTGTTTATTCAAAATAAACGATAGTTGAACTGAGAGTGATCTTCGGTGAATGTTATAAAACATGAGTAGTATTATGTTGTGGACAAGTGCCACAAACATCTATGTGAATTAATCTCAACAACTTTATAATTCTTTCTTCTTTCCAAAAGAATAAAGATTCAAACATTTCACCTCTATACAATTTTAACAAGAAGGCATTGGATCCGGATCTAACGATCCAAAGCATTCATCTATAACCAACTTGTAATTTATGTTTTAGAGGTAACACAACTCAGTGGGATTAGTCACTACTTTGCAACCTTTTAGGTTTTAAGCATCGTTATATTCTAAATAGTTAACACTACCACATTATCTCTACAATATAGAGACAATTAATTGGATTACTATAATCCAATCATTCAGTAATAAAGAACAATGTTTTTCAAACAAAACATTTATCCATCTCGTAAAGCTATAGTGATGGAATTAAGTTCCTTATTCAAATTGGAATATAAAGACAATCTTTGGTTTTCCAATTTCTTTGATAGTTCATATGAGGAAGTAAGCACTATCTGCTTTCTCAGAGATCTATATTTGATTCATGTTCTGAATGTGAAGTACTTTCTCTTCTCTCATTAATCTTCTACTTCATATTAGTCACACTTTTACAACGTTTGTAAAACATAGTTACTAATACGGAATCATACATTCAAGTAGAAGAACCAACTATTTTGAACTATTCAAGAACAATTTACAACACCTTTGAAAAGTGTGCTCTTGACACTTGCAAGACATTTCTTGCAAATACCCTTTCCAATGTCCATCCTTTCATAAAGAAAGTTTGTTCCCTTGGGGTTATTTCGCTTTCTTCATTTGACTTCTCCCTTGACTACAATAGTAATGGTCCATAAACTCCTACTATCTCTCTTGAAACTTATTTTAATTGTGGTATGCACATCAAACGATTTTGAGAGCGCGTGGTTATTGTTCACTATATAGTTTACAATAAACTTAGTGAACCATTTGGATAGGGACTCAAAGGTGAAGTCCTTGCTTAGTTTCCATTTCTTGAAGTGGTTTAACACTTCAACACTCAACAATTCAAAATCATCATAAGTCCATGTTGATGGATTTATATGATTACCTTGAATGTGATTTGGAATGACTTCCTAAATCTCATTCATACTCTGGCCAGAGATTCTTAATCATATCATAAAGTATTCTCCCTCAAACGGTTTGAAGGTTAGAGATCCCTTGTTGCGCATTTACTTGCCTCCATGGCTAAGTGGCTTAACCCCAACTATATCATGGACACTCTTTGACGGAGTGACTTTGACATAGTCAAAGATCAAGGACCTAAGCACAAGACAACTATGATGCCTCAAGTCAAAGGACTACTTTGCATTATCCCAACCATGAGTTCTCATGTGACATGAATATGAGAACTCCTTGTTGATCGTGTTCAATGGACTCATTCTCCATTGAGCACCTACTTGCTTGTCTTGGTGTCAATCACACCAATGACTCGAGACCAATCACTCTCCTTAAGAGAAGACATAACACGTACTGATCTTAACAGACCATCAATGCCCAATTGGCAATCCTATGATCAGGAACATTTAGGATATGTATAAGAATGAGAATGGTCTCATGAATCTAACTTATGTAGATCACATTCTCCCAATTACATATTCCTTGGACTTATCGTTTAAGCATATAACATTTATATGAGACGCCTTAAAACAATAATCTTTGCCCTTTATATTAAACTAGATTAGTTTAACATGTGAAATGTCCGTAAAGTATCATCATATGATTGAATTTAGGGCACATTTCCAACAAAAAAGGTCATCTAGTTCTTATAATTAAGACTAATATATTTGATATTCCTAATTTATAAATTTTAATTGAACCGAAATCAAAGATCTTATGTGCTAGTATGGTAATAGAGCTGTTATTTACTTGGTAGACTGAATGACAGCACATATTTTGAAAACTATGTCTTCATATATGTATATTGAAGTTATTTGACCTTCGGATGTGCCCTTGAATGCCCAATGCCAAAAAAAAAACATATAGATATAAGTATAGAATCCTTTTTTTATTAATATGTGTAGCTTAGTTTCCCCTCTCTCTCTCTCTCTCTCTCTCTCTCTCTCTCTAACGATGAAATAAGAAACTGTAGTGTCCTATCAACGTTTCATTCATGAATCATGATGAGGGGCTCCTTTTGAAGTGGCACATATATAGCAGCGCTCCCCCCTCCTACCAAATTCAACGAAGTAGCACTTTTGTTTCTCTGACCAGTCTCTTCTTTTGGCTTACAAAACAAGACAAATCAAATACGTGCCACCAACTTTGCTTATACCCCAAAGCACCCAACCACAACACTTAATTGTAGCTCTATAGAGAGAGAGAGAGAGAGAGAGAGCAGTTGTTCTAATCTTGGCACTCTAAAAAGAGTTTTTCATGCTTGTTAAACAAGACTAATGGAATGAGAACTAGTCCTCACACTTTTCCAACTGACTTAATCATGCTGTTATCCCTCTCCATATATATAATCCTAATTTGGTCAACAAGAACAACAAGATCACATAACTGAAAGAAAGTACTCCTTCACATTATACCCATCAAGTAGTGCATCCAGAACCTGTTAGTTAAATAATTCATGACAAACAGAATGCCTCCTTCCACCCCGTCTAGAATACTCATAGGCATCTCTTCCGATGCAGATGACAGTAAGGAGTTGCTCTCAAGGGCAATCAGAGTTCTTGCTCATCAAAATGACAACATCGTTGCCATCCATGTTCTTGGTCAGTTGGTTTGTATCAATTTACAAATATTTGTTTTTATCACATTTATCAAAATAGTAGCATGGTCAACTACATAAGTCAATTCATTTGCATTGGTAAGTCTTACATATGGTTATCTATTTTTCAGTTGGCGAGGAGAGGAAAAAGCACGAATCAGGAACAAAAAATCAATCGCAGCTTCGTCGAGCAAAAGCCAATGTTATATCTGTGCTTGGAGAATTTGCCAGGAGTTGCCAATTTAAGCAGGTGAACTGAGCTTAATGATGTAAATTATTATCAACTTATTTTGAAAATTGTAAAAATGTTCTCAGTATCAATAACCTTCTGTTGAAAGTTATAATAAGTTTCATATGCATAACATTAATTTTCAGGTAAATTTAGAAGCAAGAGTAGTTTTTAGCTCAAGTGTTGGAAGAGGTCTGATTGAGGAAGCAAAATCAATTTCAGCAGACTATCTTCTTCTTGGTGGCTCAAGAAACCAATCCAAAAGGTGAAAATTATTCTAGTCATCTGTTTTTTTCTTCAACATTTTACAACTTATATCAATCGCATGATCATTGACATGTTTTCCTCACTGAATTAGAACTCCATCCATCACAAAATATTGCTTCAAGCATTCCCCGGCTAGTTGCACACTGGTTTTACTTGGGAAATCAAAGCAACCTCATCAGATTTCAAATTCAGAATCTGCTGACTCCAAAGGTAGCTAGTTCAATTCAAAAGTTTTCAGATGGCATAACAACTCCATTTGTAGATTGGGTTGTATTCTAATCTGTCTCTAATTAATATCAGAAATCCTTCAATCAAGTTCACGGACATCGTTGCAAGATATCATGCACAGTAGCAGAACTACATCCTTTTCTGAAAAGCAAACTGTCCAAGAAACACGGAACAAAAACCCTTCACCAAGAACAGTTTTATGTGAATTTGAAGCTGAATCTCAGAGCACAGAAGATGATACCAGTAGCAATGCAGACTCGACCGTTACAGCGTCCCCCTCTCTTGCTTCTCCCAATTTCAATAGCCAAATCACCCTAAGAAAGCAAGGATTGTCACCTTGCAGGATCATTACTTCGTTTTTAGGTTCACCATTCAGAAAACGAAACGGAAGTTTATCCAAGAACGAACTGCAGCTACCTTTGTTGAAGTGCTTCAGCTACAAGGAGATCGTGAATTCCACAAACAACTTCCACCCAGGTAAAAGTGTCCGTACAATTAGTTCTGAAAATAGTTATTTGAAAATGTTGAAAGCTGTGGGGTTTTGCCAAACTATCTTGTAACCCTGTGGTTTCCGGATTACTTGGAATTCACATGCGATTTGTTTCTTCTGTGTTTCAGATAATATAGTAGGTCGAGGTGGATATTCAGAAGTATATAAGGGTGATCTTTCTGATGGAAGACGCATTGCAGTTAAGATGTTGGCCAAGGACAGCAAGGATGCTAACAAGGAAAAAGAGTTCCTCACGGAATTGGGTGTAATTTTACATGTCAGCCATCCTAATACCGCTAACTTAGTCGGTTGCTGCATTGAAAACGGACTCTACCTGATTTTCGATTTCTCTCCAAAAGGAAATTTGTCTTCTGCTTTGCACGGTAAGAAAGATATACTTACTGCCTCAGGAATTATTCATGATCTGTTGAATTATGGACATTAATTATGCCTGCTATGAACAACTTGCTTATTGCATGAGACAATCTTCAGGTAAATCCAGCGAGTTGCTTTCATGGCCTATTAGATACAAGATTGCCATTGGAGTTGCAAGGGGTCTGCACTATCTACATGAATGTTGCAAGCACCGAATAATCCATCGGGATATAAAAGCCTCAAATATCCTTCTGGGAACAGATTATGAACCGCAGGTGAACAAGCAAACAACCTTTTCAGTATAACATGCTTGATTGTCATTTATTCATTAAATTTAGATACGAATTTGTCTCTCTGTAGATTACAGACTTTGGACTAGCAAAGTGGCTTCCTAACAAATGGACTCATCATGCTGTGCCTCCAATTGAGGGTACGTTTGGATACTTAGCACCGGAGTACTTCATGAACGGAATTGTGGATGAAAAAATTGATGTTTTTGCATTTGGAGTTCTTCTTATGGAAATTGTAACTGGAAGAAAGCCTGTGGATTCATCAAAGCAAAACCTTCTACTATGGGTATGAAATTGTTAACCTAACCTACATAAAACATGTACACGCTCGCTGCATGCGCAAAGACACATACTTTGGAAAATTCCTCTTACTTCTTGGATAAAAAAATAAAAAAGAAAAAAGAAAATTCCTCGTTCTTTTTCCATTCTGACAGAAAATTCCTCATTTTTTTACCATTCTGTTTTTTTATTATTATAACGGTTGTGCAGGCAAAGCCTCTTATGGAATCAGGGGACATAGCCAAACTAGCTGATCCAAAACTGGAAGGGAAATATGACACAGAACAACTGCACAGAATAGTGCTTACAGCTTCCGATTGTGTAAGACAATCCTCAGTATGGCGACCCCCAATGCGTGAGGTACATCACTGATTCGCTGCGCATTGTCCCGTATATACAATAAATTCATAAGACATGACTTGAAACTATGATTTATGTATTTGCTTTTCTTTTGGCTTTAGGTGTTAGAGCTTCTTACCAATGGCCATAACTCTAAGGTTGCAAGGAGCTCGATTCCTAAGTTTTCCTCGGACGAGTTGGATGATTGCTCCACGGTTTATGGATATGAGGTTCCAGTAGATATTGATTTGGAGGACTACTTATGATTATTTGATCCTTAATTTTTATTTATTTATTTTCTGCACCATTTTAAGGTTTAATTACTAGTGACAAGAGATATGCTTGACAGAGTAAGAGATAAGAAGTTGAACTGTTCCTTGTAACTGCAGTATCAGAGAGAATCACCGTGTTATGTGATGCGAGAGATATTAATAGGGAGACATACATCCGGTTGTACCAAAGAATTTCCTCAAGTATTGGACTACTACAACTGAAGAATATCTGCAGTTAATCCACAACTCTGAATTGAGAGGCAAGATGATCTTTATACCAAAGAAAAACAGAGCATTCAAAAGTTCATATCAACACTAACAAAGAACAATAACGCAATTTCCGCTAAACAACTTGTTGACCCTAGAAACTACAAAGCCTACGTGGCGCGCAGGCCGAGTAATTAATGAGCTAACTACGTCCTTCGGTGAATGCGGGGCGTGCCAACTCGTCGGTCGAGCTCGGCCGAGGAGTAAATTTGTTGATGTTGCGTTGGGTGCGCGACTGACTTCTGCGTCTTGCGATTGCGGCCGAGAAAGGAACACGTCTCGGCCTCTTGGGCTCTCGAACCTGAAGACAAGGTTACTATTCTTACGAAGTTCAATATCAAATTCGGCTTTCAATATGCCGAACGTAATAACGTGTAACACCTCACTTCGCCGAAAAGGCTGATGAGATGACCTCGACCAATAAGGGTTCAGAAACCCTTCTCAACTGAGACTTGGATAGGTAATCAACCGTTCTCGCCGCAGTGCTGTTGATGCCAACGGAAGATACTGCGAGACCGATTGATTCTACGGTGACAGAGCTATCTATGCCGACTTAAGATATCACCGGTTGCTTCCATAGTGCTGTTGATGCCAACGGAAGATGTGTCAGCGAAAAAGGAAAAAGAAAAATCACAAGTTGTGAGAATTTGCGCAGGGCAATTTTGTATTGATTTGCAGGGGGCTTTTCCTGGTGCACAGCTTCCCCTATTTATAGCACTGGACCTTAAGTCTGAGTTAGAATCCTATTCGGACTAGGTTTTCCTCCCCGGATCAACGTCACCTCGACCAGTCCTATCTTTACTAGGACTATGAATCTAGTCCTTAACTGAGCCGGATTTGCCTTCTGGATTACTGATCCCGTCGAGACTCCTCATTGTACTAGGACTCGGCTGGTGTTCTGACCTAACCGCCCTAGGCTGGGAAGCCCACTAGCCGATCGGCCTCCCGGGCCGAAAGTGATCCTACCCTCGGCCCAAATTAATATTTTGGGCCCAAACATTGCCCCCTCGCTTCTGAGGTCCTCGGTCTGAATTCTTCGGCCGGGTTTCGGCCTTGAAGAAGCGAATCTATTACTCAGAGCCCTAATGCCCGAGTTCCAAGGCGTATTCATTTAACATAATTACACGATCTTGATTCTGTTAACCGAACTCGCCATGTGGCGTCCTCTAACACGACCAATCCCAATAATGACGTCCAAGGCGTGCGGCTGCATGAACCGTCTTGCCATTATGACCACTATCTCAATCCGCGAGCCACTTCCTCAGTTCGTGAGCCCACTTGTCATCGTGCAGGCGTCGAAACGTCTTCCGCCATTAATCTCGCCGTCACACGCAATCGTGCGCCCCCAACATCTGAAACCTTCGGTCTTTTCAACTGCATTTCCCAAATGTTCATCATGATCAACGATTCTTTCGGTCGATTTTGCCCTTTGTTTTGAATTTCAAACGATTACCCTTCCTGCCAAAAGCCTATAAATACTGAAAATCTCTCATTCGCACTTTACGCTCCCAAAACTTTCTGAAAACTCTTGCTCTTATTCTCCAGCACATTTCTTTTTCCAGGCCTTCGTCTTCAAATCCCCCAACCCAGAAAACCCTTTTACGCCGTGCTTCCTTCTTACAATGGCGTCCTTCATCTCCAAGCTTTCTAGGGAATGTGACCAGCATCAGAAGATTCTTGATCAGAGCTCGATCAAGACTATACGGTTTGAAAGTGACATGAGCACCGTCCACCAAATCTTGGGTCCTCTCTTCAAAGCTACAATACCGCCGACCATTACTGGCCTTCTCCAGGAGCACTGCCTAACACCCTTGCTACAAGGGTTTGAATGGTCGAGATGGGATGCGGCGAAACCCCAAGGCTCCTGGCCCTCGACGACCACATCCTGGGCAGCCTGGGTTGTTCGAATGGAACGGCTCTTCGGCGAACAATGGAAAGCCCTCGGTATCTACGATGACGTCCTCCTCTCGTCAATGGATGTCGTTCTCGACAAGGAGCTTCTCCTAGCCGCCTTGTGCTTCTGGTGCTCGGCCACCAACACCCTGGTTCTTCCTCTTGGTCCCATCGGTCCCACCATCCTTGATGTCACCACCATTCTGGGGACTTCGGCAACCGGGATCCCTATCGACGCGGCCCTCTCTGAGCACCCGTCGAATATTGATCTGAAGACACTTTTTGATCGACGAGCCTTCGAGGCCTTGAACCGTGACGGTCAAATCCCGTCGAAAGAAGACATCCAGAAGCTCCATAAGAACTTCTTTAATTACAACACCCTCTATCTTCACTTCGCCGGCCGAGGAGAGGAGGACATGCGAGAGGGAGAGCATGAAGCCTTCCTCTTCTATTGGTACAACAAGTACATTTGTTGTACCAAGTCAAACAAATGCTTGGTCGAGAATATGCCGGTAGCCGAGGCCCTGGCCAGTGGTCACGTCCTGGCACTGAGCTTTAACATTCTCGCCCATCTCTTCCGCTGCCTGGTCGAGGCGACCCTCCATAAAATCGATCCACACCAGAATGGTCCCTTCTGGGTTTTCCAACTCTGGTTACAAGTTTACTTCGCCTCCCTTCGGCCGGCCATAGCTGACTTCTCACCAACGGAGGCGCTTGGACCTCAGCTGGCCTCTCGACCGACACCTCCCCATCAAGCCGAAGAGGTATTTCGGTACCTCTTCGCTCTCGACGACTTCTCCAACGACGAGTTCCTGATATGTCGTCGTCGAGACTATCCTTCCTCCATCAGGCTGCCTACCTCTACGTGGGGCGCGGAGGAGGACGCCGATCTTCGTCAGACCTGGGGGTCGTTTGTGCTTGCTCGCGACCTCCCTCTCGGCTGCGATGGGAAACGGTCGGGTTGGGAAGTATATCATCCGAACTTCCCTGCCCAACAGCTCGGCTATCTTCAGGGCTGCCCCGTCCCCCTTCTCTCCTCCTGAACAGTCCTAAGTCGTGGACGTGAACCTCGTTCCTCAGAGAAGGAATGTAAAACTGCCGCGAGGGAGTTCCAAGAGTACTGCCAAAAATTCCGCCTTCGACCGGCCACCCCAGAAACCCATTGCACTGACACCTTCGGTGAGTGGTGGGAAAATTACACCCAGAAGTTCTTTAGTGCTCCGGTCGAAGAGGTGCTGAACAAACTCTTTGGTGACCGACCTAAGAAGGCCTCGGCCCCCCAAACTCAAGGTAATTGTTCATTTCTCCTCTTTTCCTTCAACCTTGCATATTGATTTGCCTTACTGAATTGTTTTTATCTTCTTAGGTAGTCGGCCTTCGAGAAAAACGGAGGCTGTTGCCGCGGCCACGGTCGAGAAAAAATCGGCCGTGGTTAAAAAGGATAAGGCTGCTGGTCGGGCTGTGCTGACCAAACGACTTCGCCAAGAGGCCGAGCCGGTCGTCGAACCTCCGCCGCCTGCCAAGCGGGTAAAACAGCTAGCAAAGAAAGGCGCACGAGAGATCCACGTCATCTCCAGTCAAACTACAGGGGCGACGACTCCCAGTGTTTCCCCTTCTCCTACCGTTGTTCAACCCTCGGTCGAGAAACAGCCCGCCCCGGCCGCAGCGACAGTTCGAACGCAGCCTATCTCTGGGACTGGTACACCAGTTGTGCCTCCCTCCGTCGAGGAAACACCCGTTCCAAAAAAGGTGGTTTCTGCGACCGAGGGTACAGCCCCTGGAAATCCAAAACCCTCGGTCTTCATTCTGGAAGAGAGTGAGGGGAGCGACGAGGTCCCACTGGCAGATCGTCCTCACTCTCGTCGGCAACCTCTCCCAAGGTCCGAGATGGTGGTTCAAGCCGGCCCCTCCACGGCTGATCGTGGCAAGCGCCCGGTCGAGGAACCGACGGCGGTGGCCGAACCCCTCGCTCCTTCTCAGGACCAAGATGTCCCTACCTCCTCCGAAACGGCGGTTCCGGTCGGCCCATCTGTAGCCGACCGTGGCAAACGCACGCTCGAGGAACCCGAGGCAACGGTGGAATCGCCCGTTCATCCTCAAGACCAGGGCTTCCATATTCCTCCACAAGAGGTTACCTCGGCCTTCGTAAGTACCTTCGACCATCTTTCCTTGATTTCTTTTTTGCTTTAGAATTCTAAACGAGGAAAATAATAAATGTCAGGTGCCTGTACATTCTTTTCACCGACAATTCTATGCGCCGAAGGGCGTTATCTATATTTCTTGGCCGCCTCAGTGGCCATCAAACGTAGATAACCTCCATCGTCCGCGTGAACTGAGAAGCAACCTGAGACACTGGGCTCGGCCATTGAGTTCTTTAGGTTCGAGCAACGACCCTGGAGACATGGCCGAGGTCTCCTCTCGGCAGGTTAAAAAATGAAACCTTCTTGCTATTCTTGTCATGACTTCTTTTAAACTTAACCTGATTTGTATGTGCATGCTTCATGGGAGGTCGAATTCAAAGCCCTCCTCTCCAGCACAACTGCAGAGTCTGGTCCTTCGGCTGCTATAACTGAAGTTGCCGATCCAAGCGCCCTAACCCAGTTGCGAGAAGTCCTGTCACTTTCAACATCTCAAGTACTTGAGCGCAACGGTCTTGATCTGCTTGGCATATGTCTGAACGACCTTGGAGCCGACGGTCGCCTGAGCGGAGATGCCATAGTTTGGGCATCGTCTGCCTTGGAGCGCGTTCGGGAGACATTTAGTATCTTCCAGACCGCTTTAAAGGCCGAACAGGACCTGCAAGCCGCCACGGCCGTGCAAGACACCCTTCGTCCGAAAATCGACGATCTACGGGCAAAAGGAGAAGCGTTAGCCGAGCTCAACCGTCAGATGGCCGAACTAGCAAAACGTCGGTTAACCATTGCTTCCGAGCTTGCTAAAGACTTCGACTCAGGCGGCAAGGATCGCTTAACTGAGTATGCGGCAACCAAAAAACGGGTCGAGCGGCTGAAGTTGGACAAAAAGAATCGGCAGGCCGAAGTTATCATGGCCGACGTGCGGTGGTTGGAGTTGAAGGCCCTGCTCAGCACTCTTCTACCCTCTTCTCCTTGAATGATTTTGAATGTAAAGCGATCGACCTACTCATTTTGTAAA